CTCAACTGCTTCTCAAGATCAGCGTTTCCCGAATATTTTCCCACTAAGATCCCAATTTGAGGTTTGAAAGTGGTTGTGATGCCAGAACTGTAAGAATAGGCTAGGGGTTATGAGAATAAGAGCAGAAGAGGGCAGTTTCGACTGCAGGATTTTTGCATACATGACATCTACCACATCATTAAATTTTTCAGGACAGCAATCAGGCATCGTTTATCACTGGATTCACAACATGCAAAATTAAAATATCCCATGACCCTCACAATTGCTCAATTGTTCCTAACCAGATTATATAACCAGATCTTGGACACCAAGTTTATAACTTAAACAAAAATTAATTATTAGTAATGCAACTTGAGCAAAACAGATGAACTACAAGGCAATCTAATTAATATCTACAATCTAAGTCCAATCTTCTTTGATCACTAGCCCGACTCTCACCAAATGATAGACAATTCACAGAATGTTTCTTTAATCGCAGTATGCTAATTTGATAACGGTTTCAATGATGAAAGCCTTCATGGAATCTTATGGGTATGTAGGGTTATATCTTGCTTGAATTCTGAAGTCACTGATCAATGCAAATAGCTTCTGCAGATCTCCAGGGATATTTCCTTATTTCTTGTAGACTGGGCATTTTTTTCAGGACTTTTAATAAATTGATAACAACAGAATAACAACACAGCACAAAACCAAACAACCCAGTCCTGCAGGGTTGAAAGCAGCACTGTCTCTTGCCAAAATACCCCATTAAAACCAGTTTACACTTAGTTTCTCTTTCCTTTGCTATATTCTTTATGGTTGACTGACCGATTCAACATTCAACCAAGCTGCCAGTCCCCGAGTATAATGACATTGCAGAGCCAGTTTGTCAATGGTATTCTTAGAGCAGTAATTAACCTGCATTAACTTTGCAGGCCAGTTCCCAGCAGCAAACATTAGTCTTTTGTTCTCTATCTTAAACAAGCTATTGTGCAAAGTTCAATTGTCAACTGCAACACAGTTCCAAACCAAAAATTTGAAAAATAATGATGGTCTCAACAGGAATATTTACACGATTGCTTTGCCATCAGTGGGGGAAAGTGTAAAAGGAAACAGCATGCTGCTGGGAGGTGTATAAAAAAGTGAGGTTAGGCTAGCAACAGGTTGCTATTGGTTCTTGGATAGGCCCAAAATGTCAGCTTTCCTGCTCCTATGATGCTGCTTGGCCTGCTGTGTTCATCCAGATTGTAGATGTGAATGATATAGTGAGAAGCCTTTTGGCTTCTAGAAAGGGAGGTGGTGTCTATCTCCACTAAAATACCTGAAGCTAAAGAAAGCCAGTTGTTTTCTCATCAGTTGCTGTTGCTTTTGCTTTTGCTTTTAACCAATAAGGCAAAGCATTTATAATTCGAAAACCAGTTACTCTTTACCTTCCATGAAGAAGTGAAAGAACTCAAAGGAAAAACTCAGAGAACTCAAACACAGCTGTATTGAGAGGACATCTTGGACAGTTAAGTTCTACCCATATGGTCTGGCTGGATTAAGATGAAGATGGGTACAATCACATACGATGGGGTTCTACTCCAGGCCTCCCAGTAGCCAGCCAATAGAGGAACACGATATGAAAAGCAGACCAGGAAAAGTTGTAAAAGCAGGGTTATTGTAACGGGCGATTTTAACTTCCTCAACATTGACTAGATTCCTTTAGTGCCAGGGACCTAGATGGCTCAGAATTTATTCAGTGCACCCAGGAGGTTTTCTTGAAACAATATGTAGTTAGTCATCTAGGGAAGAGGCTGCACTAAACCTTTTATTGGAGAATAAGCCTGGCCAGGTTATTGAAGTTCAGTGGGGGAATATTCTGTGAACAGTGATCATAATGCATTAAGTTTTAAGACAGTTATGGTTAAGCATATGACTGGTTCTCAGGTGGAAGTACTAAATTGTGGGAAGGCTAATTATAATAAGGCAGGAACTGGAAAAATTAGATTGATATGGCTGTTTGAGGAGAAATGCACATCTGACATGTGGGAGTATTTTAAAGGCTACTTGATCAAAGTTCAGGTTCAGCATGTTTCTGTGAGGATGAAAGATAAGTATGTATGTGTAAAGTTTAGGAATCTAAAATCAAACAGGGCTCTTGAGGAATATAAAGGAAGCAGAAAAGAACTTAAACAAAAAAATTAGGAGGGTTAGAAAGGCCACAAAATGTCCCTGACAATTAGGATAAAAGACAATCCCATGCTTACTCACTTACCTAAGCGATCCACTATCCATGTTAAATATGTTATCCCCCACACCATAAGTTGTTTCTACTGTCCCAGTTACATGATTCGCTGGTTCTAGCACAGTCCAGATGAAGACCATCCCAACAGTACAACTTCAAATTTCTCCAATACTGCTGCCAATGCCATAAGATTCAAAACCCATTTCTCTCTCACTAATCTTTAAGCAATATATTCATCTGTCTAATCTTAATCATTCAATGCCAATTTTCTCATGGCTCAGATAATAATCCAGAGATTATTTTCAACGTTCTGCTTCTAAATTTAGCCTTTAGCTACTCATATTCCCTCAACAGAATCTCTTTCCTTGCTCCATCTATGTCACCGGTACCTATGCATACCACAACCATTATATCCTTCGCTTCTCACAGCAAAATTCCTCCTCAGCCAACTCAGATGTCCAGAACCCCATCACTGGGCAGGCAAGACGGCATTCTGAGCTCTTAATCTCAGCCGTAGCTAATTGAATCCATCCCTCTGACTATACTGTCCTCTACTATCACTTGCTTGAATGACTTTCTGTACTAGGGTGCCATGAACAATTTGCTCTTTCACCCTGCCATAACTGCTTTCATCCATTTAGGTTGCAAGAACGTATTGGACAATTTCAAAGGATGGGATTAATTTCTGGAGGGATAAAAATAAAAATCAGATAAGTTTATATTAAATTTGCATTGAACTAGGTTAGACAATAATTGGGAGAAGAGTGCACAACCTTGTACCAATGTCACATTGCTGCCACCTGTAGCTACACCTGCCAGGAGATCCACAGGTATGAAACCAGAACTGAAAGGATATTTCTACCCAAAAAAAAATGTTGAAAGTGATCAGATACAGGATAATGAAAAAATTTGACAAGTTAGATGAAAAAATGTTTGTACTCAAGGGAAAATCCAAAACTAGAGACCATTACCAGAATATAATCACTAATAAACCCATTATGGAATTCAACCAAAGCTTGTTTACCTAAGCTGATAAGAATATGATATAGCGACAAAAGGAATAATTGAGGCAAGTAGCATAGTTGCATTTAAAGGAAAGCCAGGTAAGAACATGGCAGAGAGGAAGAGGACATATGGTTACAATAATGTGAAGTAGGAATGCAGGTCATCTGTGTGGAGCATAAAGAACAATACAGATAAACTGGGCCAAATGGTCTCTGTACTGTGCACTCAATGCATAATTGATATTGTCATGTACGTTTACATATTGCAAACTTTGATTTTAATCTTATAGTTAGAACACAATGGAAGAGAAAGTGTTGTTTTTCTTTTTAAATGAAGTACAATTACTTTCCTCCTGAAAACGTTTTTTAAACATTTATTTTCTTGAAAGTGATTTGTGCTGGAATAGGTTTGATTACAGAAATCACACATCTCCCATTCATCACAAGCAAGCCTGTTTAGGGAATCTGTTTAATTGGATGCCTTCAACATTGACCTGATCTTGCTCTTACTCAGGAACAGATGCGTACTAAGCTATATGTAATATTTCCAGGCTTTGACACGTCATTTTTCTCATGTTTTGCATCAAAGGCTGCTCCTCCTATAAGAAAACCCCATTTTGTTACACAGATGGTGTTTTAATCTTGTCTAGGGTTGAACAAAAGTATGTGAAACTGTTAGCAGATTAGAGGCAATGACACAAGCTTCTTGTGTTCTCCTGGTCTTTTTAAAATATATACAAACGGTAGGACTTAAGACTGTAAACCATGAACCAGCTTTACTGAAAGGGGAAAAAAGCCAAAAATAATTTCATTAGAATATTTGATTTCCAACACTTTTGTAGTTCATTATCAACTTGATGAATATTTTGACACTATTCATGAAACAATTACACTGTCTATTTTTTTCTTTCCAAGAACAGGATTGCTGTTTATTGGGATATCATCTAGGTCGTTAAACTTATTCCTGATATTTGATTCCATTACATAACTCAGGACTGAAGAAAAAAGTATGGATATTGTAACTGTCAGAGACTATTTGTCAAACACTTTGTTAAAGGCAAATTTTGATTATTACTATTTTGTTAAACAGGATGCATATACCTTTCCGAACATATTGCTATGTGATGATTTTTAGAGCATTAACATCTCTTGTAGTTTTGCAAATCTGTTCTGACTGCTTTTGTTGTGGTTAAAAAAATACTAATTTCTAAGTTTTGCTGTGCCTTAAGAACACAAGGTAGGAGCAGTAGAAAATACAATCCCCCACCTGTTCTGCCATTCAGTGTAATCATGCTTGATCTTGGGCTTTATAACTCCACTTTCCTGCTCCCTCTCCGTATCCTTCGATTCTGAGATGTCAAAAAATCTGTCCCTCCTAATTTTAAATGATACAGCATTGACATCTCTCTGGATACAGAATTCCTAAGATTCACAAGTCTTTGACTGAAGTAGAGAGAGAGAACTTGACAGAGAATTTCTTCTCGTTTGACTTCTATATAGTTGGACATTAACCTGATACTACTGCAATGTCTTAAATTCCCTGATCAGCAGCTTATTAATTCTGGCATGTTTTTAAGACTCAATTTGTTCACTTTCATATTGCACAAGATTTATGCAATTCAAATTAATCTTACCTTTCCTCCCAAAGGAAACATTTCATTAAAAAAAAAATCATTTGTTGGATGGCAGGGTCTCTGGGAAGGCTGGCATTTATTGCCTAACCCTATCTTCCCTTGATATACACATACTCTTCTGCAACATCACTGTACAATGAATACCATTGCACAACCTTATAGTTTAAATTTTATTCAAAAAGTTACTGTTTCATGACATAAATACAAATCAGAACAGTACAATGAACAACAAAATATGGAGGCCAACAGGATAAGGTAAATATAAAACATTTCAGTTGGTTGAAAACATACAGTTTGATGAACTGCCTTTACAACAAAACAAACTTTTTTTAAAAGTAGAAAAGTCTGCTTTCACTGATTTTAAAAATCATATATACAGTCCTCAGCAGTTCTTTAACGCAGTGGTGTACTAATGGCAGTACTGCCAAATATGAACAATGTTCTTAAAGTGTGTAAAAGCAAACTATTCTTCAAAAGACAACCATTTATTCATGGCATATCTAATGAACTAATAATAAGATTTGATGCAAAAGCCAAGTTTTTAATTTTGGCAAATAAAGCTGAATATTTATCGAATTGAAATAAACAAAATATTTTGCAGGAGATGGAGTTGGGAGATAATGTACTGCAAGCAGTTTAAGGCATGGAATGATTTAAAGAAAATACGTCAATAGATGAAAGAAGACCGGCAAGAAGTGTCATGTACATTTTTTTATTATAAGTTAATGTCAACATAGAGTTGATAAAATAACCAGCTGCCAGAGTACTGCAGAACAATGTTGAAAAGCGTTCTATGAATTATTAGAAACTTTATAATTATGACGGAAAATTTACCATAAAAATTAAAAACATAACCCATATTTAAGGAATAACATAAATGGGTAATTTTCTTGGTGTCTAATATCTTCAAACTAATTTACATTATTAAAACAAACTGTACTATGACCAGCTGTAGTTCATTTAACCTGAAGATTGCTTGCAAAGACAGATGTGAATAAAATATAAAATACAAATTTAAAAATTACTTAAGCATGAATATCCATGCTATTTTAGACGCTGTTAATTTTAATTATAATTTTTAAACCTCGTCCTTCTGTTTGGAATTTCAAAGTATGAAAAACTGAACAAGATTTGCAATTATAAAATCAGCACCAATCATATATATATTTTTTTATTTAAAATTTAGTTCCCTATTCCCAAACTCTATCAAGTCAAATAATTGTTTAGAGAAACTTTCAAACATACTACACCAAGCTCATTTAATCAGAGACACAATACAGTGGCACTACTGGAAGGAATTTAACTTGCTTCCATAATTTTACAGTCTCTTAAAATATCAATTTATCAGGCAACAAACTGCCTCTTCAAAGCACTTAATCTAGGTGGACAGTGAACAACTCCATTAAGCATTCTCCTGAAAGGAGAAAATCTGTACAGTTTTAATATTTTAACTGCATTAACCAAAATACTTCTTTTAAAACTACCTCTCAATCATTCATACAATGACATTTCCTCAGAACATTGAAACTCCAAGGACCTAAAAGAGAGGAAAGATAGATTTTGTTAGCTGAAGATTACAACTATAGTAATTCTGGAAAATAAACTTCAAAATACTGTAACATAACATTTGTAATATAACATATAAATAATGTTATATTATAATCAAAAATTTTCAAGTAACATTCAAATGGATTTGAACATTAAATTTCTATTTGATATGCTATGTAATTTTTTTCAGTTATTTAGCATTGTTGGAATAAGATGGTTCACCTGCCATCCAGTGGACATTTGGAATAACTACAGTCACAGTTGATCAAAACAAGTACTAATGAAAACGATTCAAATATTCAGCTGCAGTGAGGATTGATTTGTGTAAGTCATCTTTACTGATGTAACTTAAATAAATAATGATCTGTCATAGTGCGTACTACTCCATCAAGAAAGTAGACCATGTTATTCAACAATACCCAATTTCATTGTTGCCAATTCAATACACTCCCAGAAGCCCTCTGGCCAAGAAGCTTGATTCCTGAATAAATTCACCTTAGCTACTGAACGTTGACTTGAAATAAATGAATATAAAAATGACAGACAGGAAATATCTGTCTATGCTCAATTCATGATGACTGGAACATGAAGACATTGCTCTAGTTCTTTCCCAAGAGCAATACCTCAATGCTCCATTCATACATTAAACAAAAGTTTAAAATGTGTGTAAAATCAAATACAGATGGTAGAAATCTAACTAGTGGGAAATTTAACCAGGTCTGGCAAAACTTGCAAAAAGGGAATGACAGTTAATGTTTCAAATTGAATATGACTCTTCTTTGGAACCAAACGATGATAAAACCAGAAATGTTAACTCGGTTTCTTGTCGCAGATGCTCCAGGCCTACTGAGACATTTCAGTATTTTCTGTTATTCCTGAAATTTGTGTACTTTTCCAGTTAGTTGATTTGTAGCCAAGAACTTTTATACAGTTTTTTTTTCTTCATGACAGATTGGAAATTAACTTTGATGTGTTACCAGTGAGAATTCCCGACTGCTCCCCACGACCCCCCAAACAAACAAACTGAAGTGTATTTTCAACATACATTGAATCATCATAATCATGACTTGTTGTGGAATGAGGGAAATTTATATATCTACAACCAAGGGGTCCTGTGATAACAGCTGCTGGTACAAAATGTCAAAATTCGTATGTATTCAGTCTGTGCCGATTTGAGACCATAATGTTTTTTTTTATCCCAGAGTAAACAAAACATATTTCTGAAAAATAATTTTGATTTCTGTTTACTATTTATCACCCATCCCACTTTTCATCAAAAGTGCATATTTAGTACCTTTCTCAGTCACTTGGTTGAGATTGAGAGCCTGAGCATTCTAAAATGTGCATGTTTTAACTCACGTGACCACACAGGCACCCAAAATATCATTGCCTTGAACCCCATTTTATGAAGGCTAGAAGAAGGCATTTAGACTCACCGAGTCATCCATTATTGAGGCAGGGTCAAAGAAATCTGGTTTTAATTCATTTCTTTCACGTCTATTCTTGGATGGTGGCTAGAAAGAGAAAAAACAACTTGCGTTAAATATTATTATTATTGGAATTTTAAAAGTTGATTTGGTTTTCTTTTGTATTTTATTACCAAATCAATGCCGATGGTGTCAAAATCCATGCCCTCATTCAGATCTTCAATACGACCCTCCGAAGACATCATTACATCTTCCACTATTGGCTCTTCATCATCCTCCATCAAACCTGTGCCACGTCGACTAGAAAATAATACAATCTGTGAATTCTCTACTAATAGCTGTCCTGACCAATGCACCTGGATGGTTTGGAAAAACAGGCAAGTAAAAAGAAATAGGCAATGGGGATATTTAATGTATATGGACCACTGCAACAGTAGATCAAACCTGAAATGATGGGCCTTTGGCAAACCAGAAAATTCCCATTTTCTACTAGATAATAAATAAATGAATTTTCTTTTAGATTCAATCCTTTTCCACGCAGGAAATGTTTCAAATATTTCTATGTTCCCCAACCATCTTTCAAAGTTGCTCCACCCCCTTGTGGGTCAATTAACTCAGTATAAATATTCAGTAATGTGAAAAATAGATTTGGTAATCGGCTTCAATAATTATTGCATGATGATTGATACGATTGATATAATTGAACAATTAAGCTATTGAAGTGCTTTTTGAAAGCACAAGGAGTTATCAAAACTCAGTCTTTTTTTCCAAAAGGAACACATTGCTTGAGTATTAAATCCCTGTTGTTGTACATACACTTGTATCTCCATTTTTTGACCTATTTATCAATTACTAATTAAAAAATCTCTTTTGGTCTTTGCTTTTCAATATTATATTTTCTTTGCTATTTGTTTTCATAGAGAAGCAAGTGTAAATATGGGAGGGGTGAACACAGGCTACACTAGGCAATAGATAATTAGTATTTATGTTTCGGATTAGCTCAAGTTTATGGGGTGGGAAGGGTAGGTGGTGGAAAATAGGCCAGAGAGAATACATTAGCTTGGAGATTATAAGGTTTTTAACATCGAATAAACTGATAAGAAATTGTCAGTGTTAAAGACTGTTAATTTTGATTGAGAGAATATGGGATTAGAAACACATTTCAGCATCAAAAAAGACATCAAGGCTATTAATAGCCTAGTTCAGGTCATATAGCAAGGGAAAGATACTGAATTGGTGGCTATGGAACATTGTCTTTGTCTTCTGCCACAAACTATGTTTAACAAGAAGGTATCATGCCTTGTGTTGGCTAGGCTCACAACAGAAAGGAAGCTAAGATGTTGGGAGAGGTTGTACAACCTGATATTATGTCTCTGTATACTGACTTGTTACTATCATGGGTTATGTACATAGGGAAGTGGAGGGTGGGGGGAGGGGGGGTGGTGGTGGTGGAATTCGCTGGTTACAACTAAATAAATGAACAGTAGAACCAAGTTGGGGGATTGATAATAAAGGTCACAATTTGGAAAACGGTGATGTGGTAAACCAACTGCAAACAATTAGAGAAGGCTTAGGGTTAGTGATCATGTCACGTTCCAAGGATCTTAATTGCAACTTTGACTAGGACTGTGAGAGTGTTGGAGTGGATTGGAGAGATTGAAAGATGAACTTACAGGAAAGATGGTCATGGGTTTGTGAAACTATTAAAAGATCAAGGATTGCAGAAAGGAAAAGGAGTTGGAGATAGGTTGATAGTTTGCAAGGACTAAATGGTGAAGAGTAGATTTGTTTATAAAATGGGTAATAATATGGAAGATTAGCAAGGGATGAGAGGGAAACATTGAAAATACCAGCTACATGTAGGCAAAGAAAGAAATTGGGTGGCCACCGGTTTATTAGGAACAACAGCAAGAAGCATATTTCAATAACAAGAAAAACTGAAAGGGTAGGAGAACAGATAGGAATAAAAGTTAAGACAGACATGAGTTCAGGGTTGTGGCAGGAGTGAAGCTCAGCTTGCAGTCAAAGGAAAGGATGGATGCAACACTTGTTGAGGCAGCCAGAATTAAAAAAAACTTTAAGAAAACGGTTGCAAGGGGAGAAAAGCAACTGAGGTTTCTTTACTTCAAGATTATGCAGGAATACAATGAGCAGTTTTGGTTAGTAAAGCCCAATGAGATTTGATATAATGTTGTGATTAGTAGTGAATAGCCAAGTAATTTTCAGAAGTGGAGAGCAGGATTGAAACCTCAAGAAACCTAAAGTTGGTAAAAATGCAACAAAAATGGAACATAACTGCTTGCTGCAGTTTCTATTTTAATAAGTAAATCTAGGCAGATCTGATGATTAAATAAACTGAAAAAAAACTCTATTGTGGATAGGACAATAATTCCTAACTTCACAATTATGTAAAATTTTTTAATAGCATTGCACCAAGACTTACATAGCATGTTGCAGATTAGATCTTAATTTAACATAGTTCATCGCAGTTCGTTCTTGTTGCCTTGCTTCCTCTTGCTGTCTCTGGGCAATTAACCAAGACATCTGACTACTGGCATAAAAGGAATAAAGTATATAA